GTCCGTATGTGGGATCCGAACCCTCGGGCGGGAGCGCCGCCGTGCTTCCCAAGCGGCGCACCATCTAGTGCGCCACCGGGCCGGCCCAAAAATTCTTAGATTTATATGCAGAGGAATAAAGGATGTAATATCTATACACAGTGTCCTATCGAGTAGATAGAATTTCTTCTCAATTAACTGATAGTATTTTAAACATTTCAGAAAAAATCAAGGATTGGGATTGTGAGGTTCCTGAGTGTAGGATACCCATTTCATTTATCAGTCCTCATATTCTAGCTCATAGTAGATGTTTGTTAAATGATTGTTGAATGCGTAGATGAACATTTTGCCCAAGAAAATGGAAAAAGGTTAGTAATTTATTTATTTTAGCAAGATGTGCTTTTGGTTTAAGTTTCTATGGCTTTATCTTAACTTCAGGGCATTCTAAGATCAATTTTTATACTTTAAAATATTTGAAAATTTGAGGTTTTCAACCATCGTAATTGTCTCTTAATTTTGTACAAGGATATCCATTGACTGTACCACATAAATTATTCCTCATATACCTAATTGTGTGCTCAGATATACATGCTTCTATTTAATATGAATTAATACCAGGTAGTACATTTTTTATCATCTATAGAATAGTCTCAGGATATTAGATATTTTGGTAAGAATCACCTATGTATCAGGAAATATAATTTATAAAATAATTTTATTTAGTGTTTAAAAATCTACTTGGAAAGAGGAAAAGAATCTCTTTTTAAAAATTTTGTACAGTTATAAGAATGCAAATATAAGAAAACAAAGATTTTTAGATTCACAGCAGCACAATCTAAACGTAAGTAAAATTCTTAGATTTATATGCAGAGGAATAAAGGATGTAATATCTATACACAGTGTCCTATCTTGGAAGTTATTAGAGTACCTTGTTTTATGAGGTTGATTTTACATTGGTAATGCATCTAATATAGTGAGAGGCAGAGGGGCTGCCTTCTAAAACATTTTGGCTATTTCAGATTCATATGCATGGAAGCAATTATAAACAAAGCTTACTTCAGCATTTTCCAGACATTCTTCCTCTGGAATATGGTGGTGAAGAATTCTCCATGGAGAACATTTGTCAGGAGTGGACAAATTTTATAATGAAGTCTGAAGATTATCTCAGCAGCATTTCTGAGACTATTCAATGAGAAGAAGTTATTTCATGTGAACGACTTCCTAATTAAAAATATGTGAATGAGATCTTACCTGGTTAGCTAATTAATGCTTGTCTGATGTTGAAAAATGTAAAAATCTTCTGACAAGAGCAACATGGGTATTTGGGAAGCTTTTTTACTTTTTAAATGCATTTTTCTTTTTTACTTTTAAAGTAATTGTTAGTGCACTTTAAAAGCACAGAAGAGATTGCCAATTTTTGCACTTGAGGAGATAACACAGAAAGTTATTTCTAAAGTAGCTATTTATGTGCCTCTTTGTATGTTTCCAGAAGGTTTCATTTTAAACAAGTTCTCTGATTACATTGGTTTAGTAATAAATTTATAAATAGTCCACTGAAAAGAAATATTAGCACAAATCAACTGATGGAAAAAAAAAACTATTAACACTTATTTTGGTGTGTGTTATATTAGATAATATTTCAGATTAAAAACCAAATACAGCTTTACAGTTATTTCTGTAGGTCTGCAAGACAGTTCATCTCAGAGAAATTCTTTTTTAGCACATTTGCACAACAGAAACTTTTGAATGAAGAGTTTATATGCCATACTATTGTATGAGCATCTATAGGTCTCTATGAAATTACTCATATTAATATTGTTGATTAATAAAAATTATTTAGAAAATATTTCAGTATGATGTCTTCATACTGTTTTGCATTTTTAATCAAATCAAGAATGTAATTTTGACTTCTGTTTATGTCTCTTATCATGACTTCATAGAGATTTAGAGGTGGAATTATATTTAGTTGCTCATACACATGGACTGTTTTTAGTTAAACAATAACACTATTACACAAAGAAAAGAAAATGTTTACATTTTTAAAAGCACTGTTTATTACACCTGCTATTTTTCAGTTATGGATGAAACAATTTGGGTTTTACTATTATATATCAGGATATTCTAACCAAATCCCACAATTCATGTTTACTTAAAAAAAATAGTAGTTAAAATGTATTGTTGGTATTGTAGTTTATATCAAGGAATTTTTTATTTATTGAGGAGATAAAATTTCAGCCCTTGCATTCAAATAGCTTCCAATTTATGATGTAAATTTTATACTTAGTATTTTATAATTTCTTAATTTAATTTTAAACTTGAAATGAAATAACAGGGTATACAAAATTTGCTGAACACTTGTTCAGCTTGTTGAGACTCAACATTAATCATATAATAGTATCTTTGTGCAAGGATCTGTGAAGAGTGTTTTTCTTTATAAGAAATTTAGTCTAATCAGGTGAGCTGATGCTTATGATTACATACATCTATCACATAATTGAGAATAATTGTGGATGTTCTTTAGAGAACATGTTTGATTTTGATATAGCATTGGGAAGCTAACTTTACATGATAATTTTTATTAAAAAATGGGGTCCTGCCTGTTTTTTTAAAAAAAATTGAAAGTCTTTATAAAATCATACAATTTAAAAATCATATAATTAAAATAATAACAGAACAAAATCATTTATAAAGAATAAATGAGCCTCTAGCTTATCCATCTTTTATACCTAGAAGGAGATTTACATCACAAGTTCCACTTCATTTACGTTTGGCTTATTTAAAGCACTTTCTTATGAGTTGATGAAGGAACAATTAGTTTAGCACATGAATAAAGGATAACGTTTATAACAGTAAATAGAATTAAAATAAGTCAATCACATAGGTACATTTTATGACAGGATTTGAAATTTTTATAAAATGAAGTAATTCACTGAAAAACATTAGAAGTACAATGTGAAATAAGCCGGCAATTTTATGAGGTGCTGACTAATTGTCTGCATGACTTTACTGTGATTGTAGCAGAAGTGCCTTTAGAAGATTGACTCTATAACATGCTCATTGTGTTATTGAACTGCACAATAATTTATTTGTTTTAATATTGTTCAAAAGGAAATAAACATCTTTCACATAAACCATAGTTTGCAGTCTTCTCTTTATTTTAAAATATGAATATTAGGCATTCTTTTTCATAAACTGCTTTTCCTTACAGAAAAAGTTTAAGAAAAACTTACCATATCTAGTTGCCCATTACACAAATGTAAGTTTTTTCTTTATAAGTTTTCAATGCAGCCTGGGTTTCCTTGCTGCTTAGTTCAATACCATCTTCCCCTTATGTCTTTTGCTGTACATGAAGGAACTACAAACTAGTATAAAGCTAAGCCATGCATACTTAAGAGGTTAATGAAGGCTTCTAAGTCAAAAAGCCATAGGGTGCCACTTCATCGGACAGTTTGATGTTCTTGAATAGATTTTATTTTTTTAGAGCAGTTTTAGGTTCACAGAAAAATTGAGTGCAAGGTACAGGATAGATAATGTAATTTTGAAACAATCTGCTGTTAGCCTAGATCATGATTTTCTTTGTCAAAATAGATTTTTCTTGCAGAAATAGAACTGAAGTCCTATTGCAAATATTATTTTTCCTATTCACCTAAATTAATACTATAGATCATAAAACAGGTCAAATGTGCAAACAAAAAACCCAGCCAACTAGCAAGGTGGTGGTGTCTGAAACACTTCTTGCTGGCCTTGTATATTGAATTTCACCATACTTGGAGGAACTATAAGTTACAAAGATAGAAATAGAAATGAGGATAATAAAATTACAGTTGGCAGTGGTACATCCCCAGTAATTTTCTGGTTAGCAAGGACATATACCATCCGCCTCGTGCCGCCATACCTCATACGTGACCGATTGTTCTCCTCTTCTCTATTCAAGTCAATCATATTGATCTATTAAATATCTACTTTTGATAACACTGTACATAGAATTAAGTACTATAGTGAATAGAAAAATTAACCAATGCTACCTGGGAGAGAGAAAAATATATATCCCAAATAGCCAGTTAAAATGCAGTGTACTGTAAGGGCCATTAGAGTGATCTTAAGTGCTTTGGGAGTTTAATGAAAGGAAAGATAATTTCCACTTTGGGTAATTGAGGTTGTATTCTTAAAGAAGGTACTATTTGAAGAAGAACCTTTAAGAGGAATTAACTTTCCTAGGTATCAATCAGAACTGAGGAGAGGAAGGATATTCCCAGAAAGACATAGCATGAGCAAAGACTTGGAGATAAGAAAGAATAGAGCATATCTGAAAAATAGTAAATAACCCTATATTTTTGGATGGAGGTGATGGGTACAGGGGAGTAGGGCATTTTCCTAGAAGGATCCATGTGAATTAAATTATGATAGACCTTGAGTACCAGCTGAAGGGCACTAAAATGTATTGATTACTTATTTTGTGCCAGGCACTGTTTTAGATTCACATACATTGCATCATTTTTAATCTTTGGGCTCCCCGCAAAAAAACTGAGTTGAGTGGCATTATGCCCACTTTTACTTCCTTTGTTCAGAATCACAGAGCTAGAAAATGACAGAATCAGACTGAACTTGGCTGGTCTGGCTGTAAGGTCCACGTGACCCACAACACCACAGTGTACCTATTTGACCTGATTCCACAGGCCACCAGGGATCAATGGCCATCAGATTCTATCAGTCCTACCTGGAAACATCTGACCCTGATCCACTTCTGAGGCTAATCATCCGTCATCAAATGTGCTGCAATATCCTCTTGGATTACAAGTTTCCCATTGTTCCTCTCTTACCCACCCCTTCTACACTGCCAGAATTATCTTTCTGTAAGATTTCATTTCCTGATCTCAAAAGAGCAGCACTGCGTGCAGGCTAAATTACTAATTGGCACCCAAGGCCTTTCACGCCCAGGCCCAACCTGTTTTTCCATGCTCGCATTGCAGGACTCCTCGCTTCACCTGTATTCCAGGCACACTAACCTTCTTGCCACTTTGAAAATACAACCCCTTCCACACAAGACATATCAGAATCGGTAGCAAGGGGCAGAGGGGTGGGGTGGAAAGCAGGTGAGGTGTGTGTGTTTTGTACTCTGAACCTTTGCTTTTATTGTTTCTTCTGCTTGATGCCTTTTCTCTGTTCACTTACCTTCATAGTCCTGCTCACTTGTCACCTCTGAGAAGATTTCTCTAACCCTCCTCAGCAAGAATGTTTTGCTCCCACTGATGTGTCCCCCTGTCTGGATTTATAGCTGCTCACCTGTTTGTCTCCCTGCTAGAAAGTGCTCTTCAGTGCAGACAGTTTTTTTCATCCTTGTACAGCCAGTATCTAACCAGTGTCTAGCAAAGGGTCAATACTCACAGAGGACAGACCTGACCCAGGAGTATTTCTTGCTGCAAGACTGGGTGACAGTCATCAGGAGAACAGCCACAGGGCCTGTGTGGCACCGTGCTAAATAGAATATTGTTTACTGGGAAGCTGGGCTGATCTCAGACTTGAGTCCTCCCTCTGCTTTTTCTCTCTCATTCTAAATGTTAGCTATATTACAATGATAACTTCTTACCCATTGGGCTTTATTTTTGTTTCAAACTTCACTTCAATTTCTCTGTTTTATATATCTTAACTAATCAGCTCTCCTTTTAAATTTTGTTTTAAATTTCAATTCTTTAATTTCATATACATATATACAGGCTGGCCCCTATGGAGTTGTTCAGAAGAATCATTAACCATTGCCAAATAAATAAAACTTAGTTGCAATTTGGCTCTCATGAAGTCAGGAAACAAACAAACAAACAAACAAACAAACAAAAACACGTGCTGCTGCTGTGTCCAGCTGTTTGGGCAGGTTTCCCAGAGCAGTGCTTTATCATGTATTACACAGAGCATGGTGAACTTGGGGAGATGTGCGGTCTGGGATGGGGAATGGTCAGGCATACAAAAACACGTGCTGCTGCTGTGTCCAGCTGTTTGGGCAGGTTTCCCAGAGCAGTGCTTTATCATGTGTTACACAGAGCATGGTGAACTTGGGGAGATGTGCGGTCTGGGATGGGGAATGGTCAGGCAT